TCCCAATCTGTTTTGCATAGGCAAATTTAAGGTGTTTTATTATGGAAATACACCTTCCCAAAGAGTGTGGTACTCTGTGCTGTGGCACAGTCACACGGGGCTGATGCTGCAGTACGTTTTACAGAACACAAGGCTGCAACCTGTTTGTAGTGGGGTAGCAACCTGCTCAAGCATAAAAGGTGAAAATGAATTTATTTGTCCTTGGCACACTTTGCAGCTTCGTATCTGCTGCTCAGCAGGTACAGCCAGTAGTAACAACCTGCAGAAGGAAATGGTGCTAAAACTGCAGCCCACGCCAAACTTACGACTCTATTTTTCTTCGCCATTATTAGCTATCAGATGGTTACTATGAAACATTATCTGCGTATTTTATCATGCCTACATTTATGCTCCATGAGCAAATCAGCAGCTGAAAATAGCATTGCACTCCTCCGAGAAACCTCGCTGCCTTTACAAGATCTAAAGTTGGTAGTTCTTTATCAGCATCTTATTTACAGAGGCAATTCCCACGCTGCTGAGCTTCATCCTTACAGAGGGTGGGAGACCTGCACTGCTGCTAATGCCACTGATCTTTGGAAAAAAAAAAAAAAAAGAAAATGCAGCTGCAGCTTGGAAGAGCAAGGGCACTCAGCTGCTTGACTGGGTTAGGGCTATAGGATGCAACAAGCATTTACAACGTGGCTATTTAGTGCCAAAATATCACCCATCAGACATACATTAAGAAAATTATTCCATGGCATTTGCTTTGTGGGTTTCTTTGTTTGATTTGAGTCTCAAAAAGGTTTTTCAGTCTCGTCAGATAAAACAACAACTTGCTCTTCCCCTCCCACTAACTGCCTGCCAATTTTGACTTTAAATCGTATCTTTGTGGATGACTGAGTAGCTGCCACAATACCCTGGATCAGATTTTCATATTGCTATGAGCTTAAAATAACAAGTTCATATTTCTTCACCAGATGTACACGTTTGTAGATGAATTCTGCTCATAATTCCACTATCCTCCTGAAGATGCAAAGTACAGGAGCTCATACCTATTCTACATCTACTACCTGGGCAGCAGGGACAGAGCTCAGCCTAGAGAGGACTATTATTAAACTACAGCAGCTCCACCACTTTATGGCTTCTAAACCAAGCAAATAATTCCATGAGCTCTCCTCTACTTCCTCAGCCACAAATAATAGGTGAGGGAAAAGCAGTTTAGAGAATTCCTGGCTGAAACAATAGCAAACATTAAGTAAGATCAACATATGCTCTAATTCCTGCCCTTAGGATATAACTGGTTAGGGAAAGTCTATGTGCAGGTGTAACTGGGCAATTAAATAGCCACAAAGATCTATGAATGTTATTAAAAGTATAGGTGATATAAGAAAATTATGAAGTGCAAACCTGGGTATACAAAACCACCAAAGATAAAAAGAGTAAGAACTCCTTTTAGACTTGGCTGCTAGTTAAAAAATATAAAAGGAAAAAGAAAAAATATCATTGCTTCTTACTGGCAAAGGTGCTGGTTTGACAGTCCTGACGAGAGATCTATTTATTCAAAGTAATGCTGGCAGCAATGGCACAATTCTTCCAGTATGCCCAACCCTGTATCTATTTTCAGTTCCATCAGTAAGCTAAAGGTTAAAGCTATTTATTTAAACCCACACCCACATGCCACTTAAATTGACCCGAATTATTGTCTGAGTTGTAACCTCTCTGTATTAAAGTCCCCTTAGGGGCTGCTTCTTCATTTCAGGCTCAAAAAATTCCTCCCTCGAAGGATAAAAGCAGATAAGGAGCACTTCCAAACAGAAATGGAGAAGGAAATGGGGAGGAGTTCAAAGAATGCTTCTTGGTGTTGTGGATACTACAGAAAACTTCAGTTTCATTAGATAAATAACTAGAGAGGTTAGCTCCAGTCATATTAAAAGATGTCACTGCCATTCCTATTTTAAAGATTTCTAAAAGAAAATATATATGAGAGAAAAATAAAAAACACTAGATATTCTGCTTGCCTTCGTGATGCAACTGGAGTGAAGCCCACCAAAATATCCCAAAATGAAACAGAAAAGGCAGTCCCAAGCAATCAGCCCACAGTGGAAATAATCCTCTGCCAAAGGGCCGGGGGCAAGGAGGACCGAGGAGGAACTGGAGCCTTCTGCACTGGTTAACAGGAGCAAAGCACCATCCCAGGAGTGAGATTATTCTCTAGGCTGATAAAAAGCAAAGGAAAAGCAGCATCTGGCCTACAATATTTAGCCTTTTCTACACAGTTTAATGCTGTGTGAAGCATGGTAAAAGCAAAGCTTCCTCAGCCCCGGGAAGACAGCTGGCGATGAAACGCAGCAGGGACACCGTGTGATGGAAGGCTCCTAATTACAAAATCTCTGTCTTGCTTGTCAGAGCAACTGCACAGTGGTACAGGGGAGCTCACAGAGGAGCTGGGGAAAAATCAAGCATAGATAAGGCTTGAAATCCATCTCCAGATGCAAACTTTCCCTGCCTTTGAGTACAGCTGGCTCTTGGATCCAGCTGCAGCCAAAAAGATGCAGTTCAGAAAGGTGCAGATATTCCCAAAGCTCAGGGCTTGTCCAACTTTAGCTTCTGATGGTGAGCCAGTCTTATAAAGAGATATTCAGTGGAAAATTTCTGTGCTGATGGACCACAGGCACCTAATTCCATCAGCATGAGTAATAATCCCTGGAGACCAAGATTCACAAACGCCGAGAAAATGCACAAGAGTGGGGGGAAAAAGCAGTCACCCAAGAGGTTTGAATTTTCATTTGATGTTCTCTAGACACATAAATAGAAAAGAAGGACTTTCAACATATAGAGAGTATCTCATTATGTACTGATATTGTTAATTGCTATTCAAGTGCCTAGAGGCAAAGACACAGTACAGTTCTAACGAGCTGAAAAGTATTGTTAAATACATCAGCATTATAGAATCGGAATGGTTTGGGTTGGAAAGGATCTTAAGAACATCTCGTTCCAACCTTCCTGCCACGGGCAGGGACACCTCCCCCTATCCCACGGTGCTCCAAGAACCATCCAACCTGGCCTTGGACACTTCCAGGGATGCAGGGATAGCCACAGCTTCTCTGGGAATCTGTGCCAGGGCCTCCCCACCCTCACAGCAAAGATCAGAACGAGTAAAATAATTAGGAACGAGGTAAATGCCACCAATACCATGGAACAAACCCACAGAGAGCCAAGGGAGATAACTCCCCACTGATGGACAGATTGAGACTGGCATCCACTAAAGCTCATTTCACTCACTACACTTCAGCCCCCACTGTGACCACACAAACCCTGTGAGTCCCCAAACAGCAGCACCTCACAGAGATCATCACAGGGACATGAAGGGCCACATGTCAATGAACTCCTAAACCTGGCCTTTCCCTCCCTCCTCTCTTCTTTTAGTGGCTGAAGCTTTCCTCCTATATTAGTGCATCAGAATTGTAAGGGCAGCACTGTCTGCTGGGAAGGAACTGAGCAGGGATATTTTCAGCTGCATTGCCAGCACATTTCTGCAGTGCCATCAGGGGAAAAAACCCACTGGAAGAGCTGGCTGAACTCATCAGTAAATATAATTAAGCTCCTGCTAAACCATATGACTTTTGCTAAATTTGAAGCACAAACAACAAAACTGGTTTATGGGCTTTATGCTGAGTAAGAAAGGGATAAAGAATTAGATTTTTACAATTCAATGTGAGCAAACTGCAGCCCTGCAGAATCTGTGAGTGGACTGTGAGCGGGTGGCAGAGCTGGGTGCTTAATTTCTGAGACAACAGCAGATAGATATTTAAAGCTGTTGCTCAAAGGGCTTAAATAATGAGTTGTAAATTAATTCATTACCATTTGCTGTATAGCTGATGGAAAACAAGCCAGATCTCATATGCTGTACAAGCTTTCCTGAAAACTGACAGGTGAAGCTTTTGGCCAGGAAACAGAAGCTTCCAATGCTTGAGGCTTAGTTTGCTTCAAATCTCAGCATTTGTTTCCCACCAGAATCAAGTTTTCATGAACTGCGGGTAAATTTGACTAATCTTGGTTGAAGTTTCAAAGTTGACAAGTATGTGTGTGTGGAAGAGAGACTGACAAAACCTTTCCATCAGCAGCTTTGATATGTTTCTTAATTATGCTAAAGCATTATGAGATCCAAACAGCTCAAACTAAAACCAAGAAAAAAATCAGTGCTGCTGTTTCGAAAAGAACAAACAGTAACAAAGAAAATCTGTTAAAAAATAGTAACACGGATTAGTAAACACAAAAGTCAGGCAGAACAGTACACAGACTTTCATTTCAAAGAAGAAAAATGGTCCCAGAAATTGTCAACTAGTAAAACAAGACTGATAAGCATTAACTCTCCACAAAATTAAATTACAGTTTAAAAAAGAAGAAAAAAAAGCAGGAGCAATGAGCCCTGGTAGAAAAAAAATGACTGAATTAACATATCAAAGGAAGAAGATAGGAGAGTAATCCAGAGGGTAATACAAAAGAAAAGTTTAAGGGACACCTTGGGATAAGTTTTCTTTGAAGTACTGCACTTCCTAAAATAATAGGAGGGTTATCTAAACACGCCCATCATGCATCACAATTATTGTACTACACTTTTACTTACAGAAAATTCATTGCATAAGTGGAGGGTAAGTGCTCCTGTGGAACAGGCCTAATTAAGAAGTTCCCATTATGTGTGGAATTCGTAGCAGGGACACAGAGCCAGGTCTGTATTTCAGACCCTGGGCACGCACCCCGGGCACACAGAATCCTCCAAGGCACAGCAGCCTGGGGGTGAAACCTTTACAGCCAGTGAGTTTTATCAAGCTAAAAATGATGTCATTGTCCTGTATCTCACCTCTTCCCTCCCCATTTCCCATCTCCACAGACTCTGCTGGCTTCTGACAGCAGAGTCAAGTCAACAACAACTGTTACATCACATGCAGCTGGCAATGTTCCATTTTCCCTCTGTGCTGGAGCAGAAAGCCTTGCAGGACATCAAAACAGCATAAACCAACCTGAAACATGAAGAGAATTAATCAACCATCACTTTGCAATCACTGCAGCAGATGCTGCAGGAGCATCTCCTTTGTGGGGACATCTCACCTGTCTGCAACATAGAAGAACCAGACTTTTTTAGAGATTTACATCACACTTAGTTTTCAAGGAATAATTTAATTTTTGGGAAAACTAAACGTTGTGGCACCAGCTGGAGAAATGTCCAGTTTCTACACAGCAAGACATTACTAGTGACTGCACAAACCCAAAGGGATCACAGCAAAACCCTACCAAAGAGTCCATACTTTGCTTTTTTGAATCATTGGAAATGCAGAGATTGAAGAGTTTACAGGGAAATATGTGCACAGTCTATTTCCTGAGGGACTCCATGGGTCTTTGAGTAGGATAATCCTGCTTCCTTTCCTAAGATCATCCATGTCTCATGACAATGAAATACAGCTTTGGAACACGCTTTTATTTTTGGAGATATATGACACAGAAATCCTTTATCCTATGTAACTGTTTTTAACTTTAATGGAGCCAATTTTCCCTCAGTTTGCTCTCCTTCCTCAGCCCAGTTGCAGACCACGGAGCAGTGGTGCATCCAGAGTGGATTTACCTTCCTGAGCTGTGCTGCATCTGAATGGGATAACCCAAATGAGCAGCAGACACTGATTTCTGAATGTCATTTTCCAGCGTTTGTGACAGATGATACAAATATCTCCATGTGATTGATCTACATCCAATAATCAAATACATATCAGATAAGATCTTTAGATGAAAATCATTCTAGAAGGTTAAATGGAAAGGCAAATCAGATAATTAAACCCCTGCCCTTAGTGGTACATTTTTTAAAGTGACAAAATCTATAAAAACCTAAGGCAGAAACATAAAGTGCAGCTGAAAGAGAATCATTGAAAACCAAATTAATATTTTAATTCTGTCACCATGGAAAAAAGTCTCTAAATGAGATGAAGTTTAGAATGAGTACCAAGCACAGTGATTTATTACCTTTTCCCTATAATTTAAACTAAATTCTTCCCATAGAGTTTCAGCCTTAGCTGATCACAAAAAAAAAAAAAGGAAAAAAGAAGGAGGAAAAAAAAAAAAAAAGAAGAAGCTGAAGGAATAGTGAATTAAGAAAAAGCCAGTGGTTTTCCAGTAGCCATGTCAAAAATCAATGAGACTGAAGGACCAGAGGTGGGATTAATAAAGCTTTCTTCAACTCTGTAGCTCTGCACTTACTCCCTAAGCAGTAGAAATGGGCTTGTTTGCCAGACAGTCTCTGTGAACAACAAGTTTCAAAGAAAAATCTAAAGATTCTTGTGTACTTGTAATGCAGCACGATGCTTTCAAAGCCAGATCAGCTGGTCAGGTCAGGTATTTTAGCTACACGCACACTTCAAATGATTTATCCAGCCTTTACCTTAAAAGGTACTTCCCTGGAGCATGTCTTCTCAAAAAGCAGTGAAAATAAATTAATAAATATATAAATGTATAGATAAATAAATCACAAGCATTTGGTCTGACTGCTTAAAAGAGTCTACAACAATCACTAAATGATAGGCTGTCAAAACTGCAGCGTTAATTAAATGAAGATTAATTGTTAAATTTACTTAAATTTAATACAATTAAGGGATGCATCATGTTTATATGAATTGATCAAAAGCAGTTAGCAGCTTGCACAAATCCATATTTAATAATACGATTTTAATGTTCAGTTGACACTTACCACACAGCCACTTTTATTAAACACATACAACAATTAGCACAGCACTGTCAGGCCCTTCCAACATTCTGTCATTAAACAAACAAGAATTTACAGATGCTATTCCCTACCACCAATTTGATATAATTACACCAGCACACGAAGCACCCTGAACAGCAACAATCCAGGGCAAGGGGATGGGAGAGAGCCCTGCTTTGAAAATAACACGGCTGTCAGCTGTGAGCTCTGCCTTGGGGGTCAGGGCTGGAATTCACAGCTCCAGAGAGCTCCTTGGCCCCCAAGGAGCAGCAATGCCCATCCCACTGTCCCTCAACAGCCACCACGTGTCCCCAATTCCCAGCTACATCACCCTCCCTATGGAACATCACAAACGAGCACCAAGGACCCCTCCCAAACCCGAAAGGGTCCCCTGAAGGGGAAAGACACCAGCAGAAGGAAGCTGTTGGGTGAGAATGCCCAAATTATCCCAGAAGACAGCAGGTCCTATGTAAAAAACAAACCCCAAAGGAACCTGAAAACAGTTCTGGAGTACAATCTAAAGTAAAATTCCTTTTCCAGCTTAAGCCTTGCAAGGAAATGAATTGTGGTTAATCTCTGGCTGCTCTTAGAGCAGGAGGCAGCCCAGGAGGGTCCCAGCAGAACCAGGAGAGTTCCAGCTCCACCCAGCCCCTCGCCAGGCAACCTGGATAACAATTCAAGGGAAGGTTAAAGGATAGGCACAGTGGAAATTCAGCATTAATGGGAGCAAATGAACAACGGTCCCGAGGCAGCACAGAATATATGGCAAACAAAATGCAATTCCAGTAGGCACTAAAAGGCATCCAGAGTCTTAATGGCCACTGACGAGTTTGATTTTGCTAATTAGAGGCAGATATCTTATGACATCGGTTGAAAGCCTCCATTCCCAGTATCCTCTGTAGCCTCTAATACTTGCCTTCTAAAGATTATTCTTGTATATTATTTTAAAGATGGGAATAAGTATATTTTAAAGATGAGGATAAATAGAAGCCCTTTAAAGGGCTTGCCTTTACAAATTAGAAATTATTTTTAGAGCATCATGCCTGAGACAAGATCTAGGCTCTTTCTGGTGAAAAATCTCAGTGCAAGATAGCAAACCATTCTCATACAAATGAACACCAATTCTGGTGGCTTCAGCAAGGGTTTTACCTAACAGAAGCATTTCAGACAGTCTTGCTGTTGTTCTACATAAAAATAATTTCTATTCCATCCACAAATCTCAGGTCTTAGCTTCAGTGCAACAATTGCATCTACCATCCTCCATTAATTTTATTCAGACAGGCAACATATTTAGCAAACTACTTAATAATTAATTCTTAGTCAACATAGAGCATCCCTTTCCAGAAACAATCAACACTGTGGGATTCATTCTCCTGTGCTTATGTCCAAGTGGACTACAAGAAAATGGGAATAACATGAACAAAAATAACCATTCCTAAAGCAGAAATTTAAATTTTATCTATGATTGCCTTTAAAGTTATACTCAAATGAGCTTAAAATGTTGAGAATTTCCCCAAGGGCTAGATCTCAGCTCATGTTAATTACATCACTCCACTGAAGGTACCAAATCCATGTGGATTTTTACCACCTGGGAAGTGTAGAAGCAGGAACCTCAGCAAGAAGTCACCAGTGTGTATCTGAAGGCAGCACATAAATCTTGTAAGAAAAAGAAGAAACTTTCACACCAAAGCCCAGAAGAGCAGCTCTGGAGCTGTTTGCTTCCTTCCAGCTGCGTGAGGAGAATCAGGCAAGCACAAGCTCCTGCCCCTCAGAGACAGGGGAATCGCTGAGTGTGCTTTCCAAATAACTACAGGTGAGCCCACAGCTGGCCAAAAAAATGAAGTCTTTGAATATTACTGAAATATTTGGGTGTCATGTCTTTCAGCTCCTCACCAACCTTTTGTCTCTTCCTTACGAATTCTCAGTGATGTTCCACCTGAGGCTCTTCATTTTGCTCATTTAAGAGTTCTCCAAATACCTGCTTTGTTTGGATATTCGTGTAAACTCTTTCCATACATCAAGCAGATGTTTGCTATGCTGGGCACCAGGATTTGAGAAGAAACACCACAGGCAGTGCCCTGGGACTCTCTAACTAAACAATAATTGGCTTAATTTAAAGCTGATGGAGCTGTCCCCGTGTGTGTCCTGCCAGCTCTGTCCCTCACCAGCACTCACTGCTGGGCTTTGATCTACCAGCTCCAGCTCACACTTCATTTTCAGGATGTGAATTGTTTCAAAGCTCATGTTACAGACTTGATTTTCAGAGCTAACAGTTATTCTTTAATACGGATAAAAATAAATGAATGGATTTAAGGAATCACCTTAGTTTGTAGGAGGAGAATCATCCCAGGAAGTGGATTTTGCCTTTGGGGCATGCCCCACTGTGTCTCTCTTCAGCCATCCCAAAACCTCTATTCCACAGCAGCAGCTAAAGCTGTTGGTATTCAAGGCACACCCCGAGTTAAGACTCCCACCATATGCTGAGAAAATATCTCATATTAGATCCTAGGACAGCTGTTTCACTGCCACCTCGTATGGCCTAAGAGGAAATTATAGGTAGGAGAAGAATTAAAAAACCCAAACAGCTCAGCTCAGACATCAATCACTTCTATTATCCTGCTTGGGGATGGGGGAGCTTTGTGCAGAAAGCTGGATCCTGAACTCTAAAAGTGCCTCAGATTTACTCTACAGGTGTTTAGGAAAAATTATTTCTAATTTAAGTCATTAACAATGTTTTTTCAGGACTGACAGGGGAAATATGAAGCACCCTTCCACCTTGTAAGAATAATGCAGCAATCTGGAAATATTACAGCAATGTGTCACTTTCACTCGTTCTAAATAAAAATAAGGAAATAAAAATTAAGTCTCATTAAACACAAATGCTATTTCATTCTAAATATCTAAAGGGCATCCATTTTAGCATCTAGACAACTCATTATTAAAAAAATTTAGTTTAGCTGTGAAATAATATTCTTTTGCTTAGTGAAATTTGATCTCACTTTACAGCTTTTCTAACTTCATTAGAAACCTCTTAGTGAAGCATGAACTGCCACAAACTGTCCTGAAAACTGGACAATAATTTCAATCAGGGATCCATTAGAAATAGAAAGGGAAGACAGGGAATTAGAAAGGGAAGACAGGGAAAGTGTCACTGGCAAATATCTGGGAGTGTTTGAACTGCTGTTCTCATGTAGTGAGCAGTGCTGGCAGTTCCCTCTGCCATTGTCCCTCAGGCAAATAAAATTACAATCTGAATTCACTGCTAAACTGGTAGGTGAAAACTATTACATGCACAACCTTTGCACAATGGAAATCTACTCTCCTTGGAGTTATTTGTTTAAAAAAAGATTGTTCTATTTATATAC